AGCTTGATGCTCGGCTGCGGGTGGGTATCGCGCCGCGACCGCTCCACCTAAACTGGCACGGTGTGGTTTAAAAAAGTTAGATGTAAAGTTCGAGAACCCCAAAGTTATAAACGGGGAATGATTCTACATGGTTTTAATAAATAATTAATGAAAAAATTAAAATATTTTCCTGAGCGCATTATTTTTTTCGCCTTATTAAATATAAGAACAATATTTAAAAGGTTAGATACACCAACTACGTCAAAAAAGAGCAATTTTTACGTTTTTTTCAAAGACTGGTTTATTTATTTTGAAACAAATATTTTGACAGTTATTTTGACTTATTTCAAAGTTACGTAATCACAGGCGCCTGTTTCCTGAGACTCAGAACTATTAACATCAAAAGCGAGCTATTTATTAAAATTTAATAAAATTTAAAAAATTAAACCAATAAATTTAAGTCATAAGCAACCACTATCACACAGTGAGTGTCCTTTAAAATTATGTCTATTATGTAAAACGAAGAACAAAGTTCTTTTCGAAATAACGGATACCTTAGAAAAATTGATACTTTTGAATATATATATATATATATTATGTTATATTTAATTCATTTTAGACCTTTTTTGTAATAAAAGATTTTTTTTATAAAAAAAGGAAACACATTTTATTTTATAAAAAGAAACAATTTTTTGTTTAAACTATATCTAGGTTTGATATATACATTATAACTAATTAAAGGTGTCTACTATTGTATTTACATATAGCTTTAAGTATTTTTTCTGCATATTGAGGATGCGATTTTTTTACTTTGTATTTATTCCATATTTTATTAAAGTCTGAGTGAGATGATTTCACCGCTTGTTCTGAATAAAACCCTAACCCTTTGTCGTTTTGTTTATAAAAATCTTCTATGTGGAAAAATACTGTGTGAACCTTTGGTGTTACGTTTATGTCTAAACTCATATAACTTTCTCTAAATATCGCAATCTTCTCAAGATATCCTTCTTTTAATTGAATGATTCGAAACATTTTACATATTTCATACAAGGAAGTTACTTGTTGACGAGCAAATTTTACGTATACGTGAAATTCTATAGAATGTCAACATTGTTTAATATTTTACCCGAATTTCCAACAAAACCTACATTTCCGTAAAGTATTTCTCGACTTACATTACACTTTTTGGCCCACAGGTTACAAATATTTTCAAACTTCTTATGCATATTATCAAATAATGTATTTACAACTCCAATTAACAAATGTAACTCGGGCGGTGGATCGATGATTTTTTTTCTTTATTTGATCATCAAATTTTGATGAAATTATAGGTAAATTTAAACAGCTTTTAAAGTTTTTACAATTCTGTTTCTCTCCTCCACTTTTTTCCAATCTTCAAAATTTTGAATACAATTCCCTATAGTTCTTACCCAAAACGTTCAAGTTATTTTTGTGTGCGGTACACCAAACGCAAGGATACATGCTGCTGTGAGACATTAGACCAATCAATATATTTAATAATTTCAAATATGCTGAAATTTGTCCATCAAAATCTTTTAGGTGTAATAAATATCATAAATACATAAATAATTTATTTACTTCAGAATCCTTGAACTTTTTCGCAGCTACTCCTTCAATGTACCTTTGCCGTTTATAATCATTTAAATACATCGATTCACAATCTAACGATTGAATGGATACAGTTATTTTTAAAAAACTTCCACCACTATCTGCACCAATTTTTATAAGTGCTTCACGACATTCTTTTACTTTGTCAATCAATTTTTTTAGTTTGAGAAAGATGAACTGACATTTAGTCCGGGAGGCAGTGAAGATTTTCGGTACTTATTTTCCCAGTCGGCAAACACCGATACAATTATTGGGTTTGTTATTCTGAGCAAAATTTATATATATTTAGGGGGGGGTTTTCCGATGGGTTAAGGCGGAAAATGCGTTATAAAGTACAAATATATTGCACTTTTTTTTCCAGTGATAAAAATAATTCCATAAGTGAGAGATATAGTGAACTTAAGAAAAAAAAATAGTCTGGCTAATCTGTGAGTATGGGTAATATGTCTGGCAGGTGGGAAAATTATCAAAACCATTGCCCTTATTTTCGCAGTCCTAAAAATTTTGTGAGATGATAGTTTATATTATAATTACAGCTGCAAATATAGTCTGGCTAATGTGGAACACTCCGAAAGCCTTGCCAGACTCGTCCAACCCTCCACAGGCGCGCTAAATTCGGCATGTTCAATTATACAGGCGATTGTTGTCATCTCTACATGTTTTTACTTTTCATAATGTATGATAAGAAAATAATTTGTGTAAAGCAAAATTTAAATATGGCTAAAAAAAAATGTCAGTCCGTCCGCCACCAAAAAACTTTATTCGCGAATAACTTTGTAACTATCAGAGATACGAGAAAATTTGTGCAGTTGTTTTTTGTAGGATTCTCTACAAAATCGATCTCTTGACAGTCTTTTGTATCTCCCTTAGTTTTTGAGTTATATCAATAAAAAAAAAGAAAATCGCGAAAATTCCCATTCAAACGCGAGTTTCTGCTATCTGACTTGTGAGTCTGGCGGGGCTGTCGTGATTGTAAATAACAGCCAGACGTGTATTTTCTACGAAATTATAGTATTATTTATCATGTGACAAATTTTCAAATCCGGGATAATAAGAGCAAAATTTTTGTAATTCTTACTATTTTCAAGATGCCGCCAGAACAATTTGCCAATTTCATAAATCAGCCAGACTTAATTTTGATTATAGTTTATGACAGTACCAAATAATGGGTTAAATTTTAAGCATGGGAAAATAAGGGCTACGTATTTTAAAAACCGGTCAAATTTTTGCTTCCGCGAATTTTCAGCCAGACTGACTTTCCTTCACTTGGGATGTGCCAGACTGTTATTTCCATTAATAAAATGACTCACTTTAATTAATGTGAAATATTTATGACTGGGAAAATAAGTGGACTTGACTTTTTGGCTCATCTAGTGAACCCATCCGAAAATTTTAGCCAGACACACAAATTGTCGTTTTGTGTCACCATTTGAACAAACTTAATGACATTCACAAACTGGGAAAATAAGTACCGAAAATCTTCACTGCCTCCCGGACTAATTGCTTTGCCGCGACTTCTTAACAATAAAATTGAGTCTTTGTTTTCACTTGCTTCATTATTAAAAGATTTTTCAGAACTTACAAATCATTACGTACTTTGAATAATCTGGCATTACAATAGTTTAAGCATTACAAGATTTCTTTTACAATTTGCACACAGTGCCTTTGGTAACCGTTCATCATTACTATTGTATGTAATATATTTATTTATTACTTTTTCTAAAGAATCGGTTATTTCGAAGAGAACTTTTGTTTTCGTTTTATAAAATAAACATAACTTTAAACGACACTCACTGGTGAAAGCACTTGCTTAAATTTATTGGTTTCATTATTTAGATTTTATTAAACTTTAATAAATAACTAACTTTTGACGTCTCAAAACACACTTAAGTCGAGAGAAAACAGGCGACTGTGATTATTGACTTTTTGAAATACGTCAAAACAGCTGTCAAAATATTTATTTCAAAATAAATAAACCAGTCTTTGAAACAAAAAACGTAAAAATTGCTCTTTTTTGGCGTAGTGAGTGTATCTAACCCCTTAAATAATGTTCTTATATATAATAAGGCGAAAAAAAATGCGCTCAGGGAAATATTTTAATTTTTTTATTAATTATTTATTGAAACGATGTAGAATCATTCCCTGTTTATAACTTTGGGGTTCTCAAACTTTAAATCTAACTTTTTTAAACCACACCGCTGGGTAGTAATTTTAAAGATGAATTTTATATTTCTCACGTGTTCTGTCACCTTATATGTGTCAACTGTCAACTTGACATCTGTCATCTGCCACTTGTCATTTGCCACCCGCAACTGTCATCTGTCACCTTAAGGTGTCATCTGTTGGGTTCCCCGGTATATGTATGATTTGCGAAAAAAAATTAAATCGACTTTAATTCAAAGATCCACCTGATAAATGAATTTGATTAATTATATTTTTCCGTTTGGAAAATTTATGCGAAAGCTGGCAACACCGCAAGTAAATTTGGCAATGCCGCATTATTACCTAATATTTTGTTCAATCTCCCTGTAGACGATTTTATTTTGGAGATTTTAATTAATTTTAATTTTTACAATACCCAACAAAAATTAAACGGGCTTCTGGCCGATTAGTTTTTATTTGATAAAGCTCATCTTTTAGTATGTCAAAGTTTGTTCTTTTACCCGTCAATTAATAATAGTAATAATAATACATTTATTGAACCAATTATCACAATAAAAACAAATATAAAATTACAATAATACCTATGCTAATAAGTTCAAAGGACCAGATGGTCTAGATTAAGATTTTCATCTCATTCCTGCCCTTTACCGAAAATTTTAGAAATATATATGAGTAAATTGCAAAATAGAAGGATTCTTGCATTAGGCACCTACATTTATGTACTAATTAATATTTAACTATTTTGTTCATTTAGTAACTTGGCTTTTATTAGAAATTTAGCTCCAGAAATCGAACTATTTTTTATATTTTGTGGTAGTTTAGAGTTTAATGTATAAATATCAAAAGTAAAAGAACTCGGTGTTACGTTCAGGTGGATCAATTAATCATCTATGACGAGTAAGGATGTTATGGACATCATTATTGTAAAGATAAGGTGGGGACTTATTTTTGATAATGTTATGGTAAAAACAAAGCTTATGTAATTTTCTTCGATTAGACACCGGTATCATTTTTTTAAGTCTATTTTTAAAATCTATAGGATTTTTTCATGGGAGGGAAAAAATCGAATTTTATCGTACTGTGTAATAAATACAATACAATTTAATCCTGAAGTTAGATCATTAAGGTTGCTAAATTTGGCCCTGATTCAAGGCAATAAAATTAGTTAATATGCTATATGTCTTTTAATAAATGGGTATAGTAGGTAATTAAGCATTAAAAAGCAAAAAATACTTAAATCGGCATATATTTAAAAATACATAAAAATAATAAAAAACAAAACAAAAACTCTGTTATCACAAAAAATATATAGGTACGTACTTTTAAAGAACATTCTAAACTATTGTTTCAATAACTTATCTATATCTATCATAGACATCGCAACGTCCGTATCTGTCACCCTAGAAAAATCCAGAGTACTTTCTTCCAACTTGGAATCATCAGAAATATTTGAGCTTGACATAAACGTACTTTGTGATTTTAAATTATGAATAGTTGAAAAGTTACTAATTATTTTATCACATTCTACCAAATAGTTGTCCATGTTCTAAAACATTTTTTAAATATTTCCGTTTTATTGAAAATAAATAACTTACCTCAGAAATTTTATTTTCCAACTCAGTAACCGCTTCTTGTAAATGTTTGTACTGAGAATATCTAGAAAACAGGGAATAATGGTTTCCTGTAGCTTGTGCTACTCCTGATTCAGGTTGTTTGTAACATAAATTACAACAGCTTATTATTTGCCCTCTCTTTAAATTGTCCAATAAAATGCAATATTTGGCTGGCTCGTGAATTTTTACCAATAAAAGTCTAAATTGATCATAAATTATTAAAAATATATTTTATTAAAACTATTCTTACGTATTGACATCATCTGCTAACCATATGCTTTGAAAGTTGGTTTCAAATTTAATATCAACTATCACGCCAATAGTATCAAATTCGTTGAAAATGGGCGCTTCATTTTCATTAAATAATAATGAAATAGGCACAAGTTTTCTATTGAACTTATTATATGCCGTTAGAGAAAACTCTGGATTTAGATTCAACTTTGTTTTAAAACTTGAACTTAACTCGCCAGATTTTCTATAAAAAAAAATTAGTTATTTATTATGGACGCAAAAGAAAAATATACCCTGGTAAAACATTATACAATGTCGCAACTTTTCCCTCTTGTAAAATCTGTTGATGTACATGTGTAGGCCTCCATATATTTAAAGAGTAAGTTTTTTCCGAATCGGAATTAACATCAATAATAAGTAACTTCCAAACACTGCTAATGTCTCTTTTGTTTAGATTACTTTTAGAAATCAAATCCTTAACTTTGACATTTATTTTGTCCTGCTTATCCCTAGCTTGACTTCGTTGATAGTCCATTAAAGTTTCCCTTTGTGATAAAGAAAACAGTTCCTAAAAGATTATAGTTAAAATCTTATAGTGCAATTTTAAATAAAATTAACTTGAATCCTATCTGGATCAATACTACTTTCATAGATTTCGTTCAATGATATCGGACAAGTAACTTCGGAAATATCTTTTTTACAATATCTAACCCTATTCTCATTGTTTCTATTTGTTGTAAATTCCTTTCGAGCGGATTCTTGTATGAGTTCGACTTTTTTGTTTCTTTCCATTTCCCATTCTTGGGCTCTTCTCTCTTCCGCCTTTTTGTTTCTCCACACTAAAAGCAATGCATTTGTAAATTGCGTCAATTGCGTGAGAAGAGCATTTCCAAAACTTTGTGCCAAATATGAAAAACATGATAAAATAAATGTACACAAAATTTGTTTAATTGCAAACATTGTAGTTTTAAAAGAACTTTAAAATACAGTAAAGCTTAAGTAAATAAATTGGGCTTTATTTAAAGCATAATTTGTTTAGTTTTATCTTTACATTTACTGTTATTTGTAAAATTACATTTAAGCACGTAAACAATTTTTTCCCAAACAGTTATTAGAAAAAGATATTTTTAATTTTGCCGATAGATGAATGAGAATACCTACTTCAGTTCGTTTAAAAAATAAGATTTCATACTATGAAATACAGATTGTTTTATACAAAAATTATTTTATGCATATTGTTGAATATGGGTTAACATAAGAAAAAAATCAATATATTCTCTTTTAACAGAATGAAACGCAACGCAGGCGTCTAAAAACTTTGGTAGCTAAGTTTATGGTTGATTATGTTTAAACATAATTTATACATTATAATAACATTAACATTATTTTGCATTGTTTAACATTGGATTATTATTGCATTATTATGTGTACCTATCTATCGGTATAGCTAAAGCGTTATTATTGCAAATACGCATAAAGTTATGTTCAACGTTTAAAAAACATATATTTTACTTTAAAAAATGGTAATTCTAACAATATTCACGACAGTATCACTTGTACCCGTCAGACGTATATCTCTTCGCTCCACAACATCTAACCATAGCGGCTATAAACAGTACAGTTTCGCGACCCCAAAGTGCATAAACACCCCACGACCCAGAACGAAAGTGCAATGTGAATAGGGTCACCCCTGCCAGAAACAGGTGGTTCAGTATTGCGGGAACCTGAAAAAGATCAAGCTCGAGGAAACAAGACGAAATTCGGACAAGTATTTTAATAATATTTGCATGACGCTTTTCGCAATACTAAAAACTCGTAATTCCGAAATTCAAGTCTGCCAAGCCTTCGGGTTTATTTCTTCTCACGTAGAAACATACGGAGGAACAACGAAAATACATGAAATAATAAAAAACACTAAAAGAGGTGAACAGGGAACAACATTATTTTAATAGCCCAAAGAAAATGCATATTGCATTTTAGAAGTTAGACCGAAAATTATAATAAGCATTTACTTTAAAAATACAAATCTTATGTAGTCCCCAAGTTTGCCTAACATAAACATCACCTATAACTTTCAGGCACCAAACAAAAGTAATAGCCTTTGATTTAAAAAAAAGTCAAGTCAAGAGCAAGCAATGATTAAAATATAAATGCAAGTTAACTTAATTGCTAGAAAAGAACAATAGAAAACGTAATATAATGTATTACACAAAACGTAGACAACTGAATGCTCGGGCCACACATATCCAGAATTATTAGAATTTGCATTACTTCGGTAATAAACATAAAAAACAAAAAAAAGAGTAGTTTCATTAACGGCCACTTAAAACTATATATCGATAGTACTCGAACTCTAGACTGAAGAAATGGTTTCGCACAGTGAGGCAAACATTTGCATTCAGCAGTTTCCGATTTTCAGCAGACTCGGAAAAAAATAAACTTTTTGTTTTTCCCTGTATACTGATCAATTTTCTTTATACGTAGAAAAAAAGAATTTTTTTTGTACCTACATAACAACACTTTTAAATTTTTTGGGACCCTTAAAATAAAAAGTTAAAGGGGGAGACATTATAGGGGATCACCCTGTACTTAGTTTTGGGTCAGTCTAATGTCCCCAAAAACCAAAATGTTTTTCCTCCTTCTCCCGCACTCCACAAACTTAAATCGGGCGTATAGCGCGGCCCGGCGACAAAATTCCGGGAAGGGCCTTATCAAAACTGACATCCACGACCTCCTAAGAGAGATTACCAGCCAGGGTGAAAGATGGCAGATCAGTGTCAGGCGATGCTAATGGGGCCAGCCATACGTTCTTATACTCATACTCATATTCAATGAGTACGCAACTACGTGCAGAATAAAATAATAGCATATATCAATGTTTACTTTATTTTTTCTCTATTTGTCCATCTGGATAGGTCATGTTTAAATATAATTAGATATTAAAATCCCAAGCAACTCGGTTTTAGATATTTTTACAAGCTAAAATAAGAAATAATTTAAAAAATTAAATTTAGTTAATTTCTTGTACCTCAGTTGATCAATACAGACAAAGCGATGTTTTTAAAAAAATTTTAATAGAAAAATTAAAAATATATTTATATAAAAAGATAATTTTTTTTAATTTTGTGTGGCTCGTTATTTAAAAGCTCGTTATTTAAAAGCGACCATTTTTCACAAATGTATTATTACAAAAGTTTGTATACAAAAGTGCTCTTTTAGTTTCAACCTTACTTCTTAAGAAGTCCCATAAGCCAACTGAATGGCTTGTGCGGGTTAGGGGTAGGAACGGACCGCGGGCTTAAAGTCCCCTCCGAAGGATACTCAAAACAGTAATCAAGTCAATATACTATTCTAAATCATTAAATTTCTCGATACCCCTTCCGGTTTAAAATTTAGTAGCTCCTGGGTACAGGTGGGTGACTTAATTTGATTAAATAACAATGTTAAGGTATTAAGGTGTACCCTGTATACAGGGTGCACCATGTATCCTATGTATGGTATCATTTTTATTTGAAGAGCTACAATGTCGGTTAAATTAGATAAATGTTGAGTAATTACAAGTCTATTAAAATGACATTTAAAAACTGGAAAAAAATCACCAGTTCTTAAATAATTAGAAAAAAATTAAGTTTTACATGTAAACATACACATTTATCTACATTTTCATCCAATTTGTAATTGATTTCGCCTACTGGATTTTGAGATACCATCCCCTTCTTTTGTTTATCCTATGGTCGCTATATTAAAATTTTACATGGTTAAATAGAAAAAAATCAAGGAATTCAATGATTTATCAAACTACATAAGTTATGACGGCCATTATAAAAACAAAATATGGTGATAACCTAAAACATACAAGTAAAATATATATATAATATATTATATTGAATAAAAATGTAGATTAATGTGTATGTTTACATATAAAACTTACTTTGTTTTAAAATTACCTGAAATAACAGTTATAACGATTTTGGATTTAAAAGTTTTTTTTTTATTTTAAGAACCGCTGGCTTTTTTTTCAATTTATAAATTTTACGTTAATAGGCTCGTAATTACGCAATTTTTCTTTAATTTAACCGAGATTGTAGCTCTTTAAATATTTTTTTTTTTTGAAAAATTATATATTGATATGAAAGTAGAATGTTTGACACTATTGTAAAAAAATTACTATTTTAATAAATAGTTAATTTATAAATTTCTAAAATAACGATGTTTAAGGAAGTTTAAATTTTTAAATACGTGAACATTGTGGTTTTGAAACCAAAAAAACACAGAATTGTTACTTAGATCTGAAAAAAAATAATTAGACTACCTTATTTAACACTTATTATTTTGGAAATGCCCTTTTTCAATTTCCTAAGATTATTTACCTATTATTGCATTTTCCCGTTCCATATATTTAAGAGGATATGACCTAGCAATATAAACCTTTAGGCAACCAATAACTCCACCTGATTGGTGAATAGTATGCAATTGAATGGGAAAAGGGCTTGGACAAGGTTGATAACCTAGTTTGGAATACCAAGCTGCCCGTCTAGTGCAATTGAAGTTTATTTTCATGTAAACAATATTGGTAGTCTTAAAAATAAACAATTTATAAATTATAAATACATTTGTTTAAATATTACCTCTAGGGGATAACAACCATCACAGTTATATACCTCCGCTCCCGAGGTTATTAGTTTTGTACCAACTTGTATTTTCCTCTTAAACACTTGGAATGATAAAGGATCGTCAACGACTGTTTTAATTGCGTACCATCCGTCAGTTAATTCTAATTCATATTTTCCCTTGTCTTCTGTTATATTTGATACGCAAAGGACTAATCTCTTTTGCGAAGAGTCGTCTTTTTCGTAAATCTTACGAAGAGCACTTCTTTCCGCCTTGTCTATTTCCCTATCATATCTACCAAGAACTATATAGAAAAATCAAATACTAAACATGCAAGCTTACCTGTATTTCAACTGTTGAATAACTTGTTCAAGGCAAAATACTTCTTTAAATTCTACAGGAAACATTCTTTTGTAGCTTGCTAGCTTCCAAATAATCCACTTATAGTGATTGGCTATCCAAGATTTTGGAATTAGTTTGGGGTCAACACCAGGCATTGCCTGAAAAGCTATTTCTATTTCCGCAAATCCAATTAGATCACTGGAGTTGGGTAATAAAGTGGCACCATCAGTTGTTTTAATTAATTTTCTTAAATAAGAAGTAATTCAGTTCATTAACATAATACAATTTAAAAAACATAATTTAATCCTGATAAGGACCCTTTATACGAGATATCTCCATGGTGGCAAGTTTGGTTCAGGCATATTTAAACTCTTTACAGGACTTCTTTTGAAAAATTATATTTATAAAATTAGTAAACAGTAAATTTGTAAATGTGTCCTTATAATTAATTTCCAAATCAACATGTATACATATACATATACATATACAAGGTGTCCCTAAACTTAGTGGCATAAATTTAGGAGCAGATTAAGCAAGTAAAAATAAGACGAAAACCTAAATAATTATTTTTCCTAATTACTAATGTTTCCAAGATACAGGGTGATAAAGTGTTACTTATCATATCAGTTTTTTTAATATAACTTCTTCTATAATAGACTTGGAAAGGTGATATTTTGCGAACAGTCACTTACTAGCAAAACACATACTCACACATAATTACAATTGTTCAAGTGAACACAGTGTCGTAGAAACAGGGATTGCTTAAGCTTATTGTCCCATACAAACTTTGAGGTTAGGTTTTTATACCATTTGATGCAATTTTTCGAGAATTTACATTAAAAAAAACTGATATGATAAGTAACACTTTATCACCCTGTATCTTGGAAACATTAGTAATTAGGAAAAATATTTATTTAGGTTTTCGTATTATTTTTACTTGCTCAATCCTTTCTTAAATTTATGCCAATAAGTTTAGGGACACCTTGTATATACATATATAAAACATGTATATGGGGCAGTCCACGCCAAATCGGCCAAGAGTAAGACTTCATGTTTCCGATTTGCTTCAAATTTTCTGGGTCGATTAAGGAACTAAAGTAATGGAAAAATCTGAAATATCAACCTCATTTATGCATTTTTGTAGGTTTTACAAAATAAACAAAAAAAAATGTCACTTCTCTTATTTTTCGATTATTTAAAAACCCGAAAGACAAAAAATTTCTAAAAATATAAACATATTTTTTTACGCTCTTTAAGATAAAATAAAAAAAATTTGTTCAAAAATTCTCAAAAAAATTTAAATTCCCAAAAATCGCCACCTCAAATTTAAATTAAATAAATCATGATGATAGCCGTAAGTTTTCCGCAAATTTTGACTACTTATTTTTGGAGGGGACTAAAAAACTGTAGAAGTTATGAATTTTTTTGTAAAGAAATGCATGTCAAATCGTCGCTACAGATCCAAGCCTACGCGTAGCTACGCCGCGGCGCGCCGTCTGAGAGACGTGCGCTCGGTCTAAAGGTACGGTTTCGTTGATGCGACTCGAGCGACTGCGGCATGCGACTGCGATTGATCGCAGTCGCAGCCGCAATATTGAGTGTTTTCGTCTAGTTTTAAGGTACGGATTCGTTGATGCGACTCGCGGCTGCGGCTTGCGGCTGCGACCTTAGCCGCGCCACTGCTTAGTACAATTTGTGTGTATACGTTTTGGTTGGCGCGTTCAGTCGCAGTCTGCGCCTGAACGCGTCAACCAAAACATATACAAACAAATTGTACTAAGCAGTGGAGCGGCTACGATCGCAGCCGCGAGTCGCAGCCGCGAGTCGCATCAACGAAACTGTACCTTTATGCGATTTGGCTTAGTTTAATATGAATCTCAAATTCAAATTTATATATTTATATTTTATGTGTTTTTTACGGAGAAAAATGCAAAACTATATATAGGTAAGTATATATACTTATAGATAAGTATATATACTTACTATTTTGTCCCACAGAAAATAATAATTATAATATAAAGATTTTTTAGCAAAAATGTTAAAGAAAATAGTTAAAAATTAAACTGAAAATGGAATTTTAACACAACCGTAAATATATTTTCCACCACTTTAAATTGTTTAAGTCAATGTAGCTAACTGCGACGTTTCCTGATTTTTAATAAAAAAACGAACTGTAATTTTAAAGTTTACTATCTCCAATAATTAACAAAAAGAAAAAAAAAGTGTAATTAGAGACCTCTGGAAAAGAAAGTGATAAGCCAAAATTTGGCAAAATCTTAAGTTTTCTTAAATACCATGGCCTCGAATTGACCAAATATTATAACTTAAGTAAAATTACTTTTACAGTTATAAAATTTGGTCGCGACTGTGGTATTTTAGACATTTAATTTTTGTAAAATTCCCTTTTTCCCCCAAAGGCCTTCAATTTTAGCCTTAAATTAAAATAATCCATCATTTTGTATAATGCCATTACGACGTGAATATATCTATACTATGTAAGATTCAAATGCAATGAATATCTATACTATGTAAGATTCAAATGCAATTAATATAGTTATAGGTATAACATTAAAATAATAAATTACTTAACATTTCAATAAAATTGGTATTTTATTTATTCAGAAAACTACAGTTAGTTAGAACTATAAAACCAGGGTTCAAGATTTGCATATTTTAATTTGCAAAAGCTGCAAAATTTTAAAATTTGTAGACAAATAACTTTTTCCTTTTTAGTTAAAATAAAAACCTAGGTTTTTTTATTTTTTTTAACGAGAGCTAGAAGAGTACCTACCTAATTAATCTAAAATTAAACTAAAACATTGTTATTGTAGTTTTTTTAAATATGTTAAGCTTTTCTTAAGTCCGTTAAATTTTTTTAATTTGCACATAACTTGCTAAACCATCGATAATTTAATTTGATTGTTTTATTTTTTTTAATAAATAGATAACGCTTATCGAAAAGGAACCAAGCGCCAAAAACTTTTTCTGGGTAAAATTATTTGTAAAATAACTCATATTTAATGATGCTCAAAAGGTTAATCATTATTTGGAACTTTTCTCAAAAGGATTGAGAAGGTTCCCAAGTCATTATTAGTTTTTTGAGTAGCATTAAAAATGAGTTATTTTGCAAATAATTTTGTTTACCCCAGAAAAAGTTTTTGGCGCTTGGTTCCTTTTCGATAAACGCTATCCAAATTAGAAAAAAAAATAAGTAATGAAATATAGTTTGAAAATATGAATGTGTGTGTGAGAGAAAGAGAGAGAATCTTTAAACCATTTTTTCTCCGTAAGACCGAGCGCACGTCTCTCGGAACCGCGCTCCGCGGCGTAGCTAGGCGTAGGCTTGGATCTGTAGCGACGTGCATTTCTTTACAACAAAATTCATAACTTCCACAGTTTTTGAGTCCCCCCCCCCAAAAATAAGTAGTCAAAATTTGCGGAAAATTTAGGGCTATCATCTTGATGATTTTTTTTTAATTTGAGGACGCGTTTTTTGTGAATTTAAATTTGAAAAAAAAATTAGATTTTTTTTGAAAATTTTTGAACACAATTTTTTTTATTTTTATTTTATCTAAAAGAGCGTCAAAAAATATGCTTATATGATTTTTTTCAAAATTTTTTGTCTTTCGGGTTTTTAAATAATCGAAAAATAAGAGAAGTGACATTTTTGTTGAAATTTTAGGTTTCTCCATTACTTTAGTTCGTCTATCGACCCTGAAAATTTGAAGCAAATCGGAAACATGAAGTCATACTCTTGGCCGATTTGGCTTGGACTGCCCCATATATAAAACATTGATAAAATTTAATTTCAATACATTTATATTTTATTGTTTTTATATATTTATAGAAAAATAAATATTTAAGTTTTAATCTTTAAAAAGTTTATCTGAAAAAAGGTAAATAAGTCTATCTTAGATTATAAAAGATTGCTACTTGGATTTAAAACACCCTGTGTTGTTTATCAAAATATTTTACATCTGAAAATTTACTTAAGTTAATTAATGAAGATATATTTACTTGGATATGAAATGAACTGAGGCAGCGTTTTGTGGATTAATATCGAATAATTTATAATCCTCGTTAAAATTGGCTTCTGCACCGGGTTTTTTCGACATCACAAAGTTTCTTAAGCTAACGCAATCCACTCCTTTTTTAGCAACTGACATTGTGCCAAATTGTCTCCTAAAAACAAAAGTAAAACGTGATGCAATGAAACAGTTTGTCAGAAAAATAAAACCTCTTGCTAATATCTTTTTCTAATCTTATCTTGTTAAGGGCATTCTGTTTTTCTATAACATTTTTTAATGCTTGTTCCAAACTTTTCCTATCACTTTGCAGATTGTTTAACCAACTGTCAATGTTAACGTTTTCTGGTTCTTTTAAAACTATACCATAATTGTTAATTACTGTGACATTACCTCTTCTTATACTCGACTCTTCTGAATTAACAATAGTATCTATAGAAACATTTGCAATATCTGAAATGTTAGTTTTGGACTGCATCATTTGTGATTTTATAGGAGTAGAATTAAAAACATTTAAATAGTTTTCTTTTTTGATGACCATTGTCGTATTTTTCTCCCCAAAAATATCACTGAAATCTTCATCACCAAAAATTGCCTTGGCTTTCATAAACTCATTATCAACCATTAAACTACTAGGCTTTTTTACAAATCTTTCAGGTAAAGGAGTTGAACTCACTATTCTGTTGGATAATGTAGGATTATTCTGTTTTTCAGTAGACTTTGGAGGTAGTTCATTAAACATTAACTTTGCCTTAGTTAACTTTTGCTCTGGTATATCAATTTGCTTGCATGTTGTAATACCCAAGCTTCGCTTTCGTTTTCCACTAGATAAATTACTGGAATTGAATTCATTGTTTCTTTTAGGCGTTTTAAATTCGACCGCAGTAGTATCCAAACTACTGTCGGAAAGGCTTCTAAAAAAATAAATTTCTTCTGAATCTTTCTTAATTTCACTTTGTGCATCTGTAAACAGGTTTTTGGCCTCAAGTAAGCCTGTATCAGATATTGATATTAAAGAACCAGATGCTTTTGAAAATTCATCGAAATTTATGTTTTTATCTGAACCATTGGATTTATTTTTTGTTTCATTCAATTCTTCTTCTCTATCTATATTTTCAAAAAGTTTGCATTTGGACCATGCCTCTTTGGAAATATTTATTTTCTTTCCTGAAGCCTTTGAAAACCCAAAACTGCCCAAAGATGAATTAGAAAAGTCTACTACTACCTCAGGTTTTAATGTTATGTCTCTTCTGGGAGTTTTCAATCCTACCGCTGTATTATCTGAACTACTATTGGAAACGTTTTTAGACAAAATGTTTTCTTCGAGATCGTTTTTCATTTCACTTTCCAAAGTTGTAAATAGATTTTGGACTTTTAGTAACTCTGTTTTGGATATAGATATTGGTGAACCAGATGCGGAAAATCCTTGGAAATTTTGAGTTGCGCTTTTAATATTTTCTTTATTTGAATCATCTTTTCTTATTGTTTTATCAAATTCTTCCTTATCTATATTTCCAAAAAGCTGCTTTGATTGGGACTTCAAACCAGAAACAGAGTCAAAACATGATTTTGAAAATTCATCTACACTACTTTTGGAAGGATATTTAGTAAAATAATTTTGTCCTGCATCTATTTGTATTTCATCTTCCAAATTTTTGGCCTTTATCAATGATTTTTCTGATATTGATATTAATGAACCAGATGCTTTTAAGAATCCTTGTGATTGGTTCATTTTATTTAAACTGTTAAAATCAATATTATTAATTGACTTATCAAAAGTAGTATTTTCTTCTTCATGATCTATATTTTCGAAAAATTGTATTGACTTAGACCACGCATCTTTTGAAATAATAATATTTTTTCCAGAAGCCTTCAAAAACCCAGTAAAATTTTCCTGGAAAGAATTTGAAAAATCACTTTCAATCTTTAAACTCTTTGTAAGGATTTTTTCTGTCATTTTAGAATCAACCACAGTATGATCAAAACTTTTTGAAAAATAATTTCCTTCTGAATTTTTTGAAATTAAATTTTGTGCATTGTTTTTTTTATTGTAAATTCTATTTTCTTCTTCTCTATCTATATCTTCAAAAAGTTTTCTGGATTTGGACCAACCCTCTTTTGAAATACCAACTTTCTTTCCAGAAGCCTTTAAAAATCCTGAAAAGCTGTCTTTAGGCTTAGGAACTATTTCTTTTAATATATTTAACTTTTCCTCAGGCACCATTGAAAAACCAGGTGAAGCCTCACAATTTTTAAATTCTTTGTTGAACTCCAGTATTCCCTCTTTTAAATTACCAATTTTCTTTTCTAAACTTGTTAAGTGCAATTCTTTATTGCTTCCATTCATATTTTTGTCAATGTAATAATCTGGTGTTTTACTGTCTATTACATTATCAAATTTGGTTTTTTTTAAACATGGTTCGGTATCATTAGAACTTTTGTTTAACCTTTTAAATCCAACTTTTTTGTTGCTAGTAATGTCTACTTTATCTAATAACTCCTTGTTTATTTTCATGAATTCTTCTACATAAGAATTTGATAGTTGCATTTCATCTTTTGTAAATCCTTTAAATTGTTCTTCAAATTGTAAAGTGGTATAATTTTTATTAGTCAAAATTTTACTGTGTTTATCTAAAACAGTATCCATTACAGAGATCAATTGTGTATTGCTTATGCCTAGATCATCAATTTGCTGGCTAAATGTTAAATCTTCTTTGTTATCTTTACATGATTCAGTTACATTAGATAAATTTAAACCTTTGTATCTTACATGTATACCACCAGGTTCATTTTTCTTTAAAAAATTAAACTTTTTTAATTTAGTATTATTTTGCTGGTTGGAATTTAAAATATCATCGAATATTTTGGAACTTTTACCTAAAACTTTACTAGGAACCTGGATTTTTATACCACTACAAGTTTGAAATCCAATTTCTTTTTTATTTTGGTTTTGTAACGTCGAAATTGAACTTTTTGGAGAGCCTAATCTATCAGGTGATGCCAAAAAAGTTTTATTTTTACTACTTGGAGCTGGTGAAATAGGTATTTTAAAACTAAAGTTTTCAGGGTTAGCAACTTTCTTCTGTGCCTCCACTGCTTCAATCTTATCAATATCTTCCCAGATGTTTATTTCCTGGCCTAAACAATAGGAATCTAATATTTCATCATTCTTTTGTTTTGGTTCCAATCCTGTCTCGGTTTCACTAAATTTATCACTTAATTTTATCCTGCTTTTATCTTTAAGTTTTCTTCTCATTACAAACTTAGTGTTTTTACTGCTACTTAAAACTGGAGATAGGGGACTTTCTATTTCGCCTGGAATATTAGGGCTACTCATGTTTCTTTAAAAATGGTTAAAGTAAACTAAGGTTATATGTTATACATCTCATGAGTTGCTGTTAACTCTTAACACTTCACTACATATTTAGACGTACAATTCAATTACAATTAACTTATTTTTAGAGACTATTAATTGAAATTAAACTTAAGATAATTTTTTACTACATTGACATTTCAAAATAACAAAATCATGCGTATATCAAACGTCAGTTTAATTATGAGTTTACGCGCCAACTGAATATACGAGGTGTGGTTAAAAACTACCAAATATCACATTATTTGATAATACTATTTTTTTGCCAATGTAATCTTTGTTTGTTTAGAGGATAACCATATATATTTATATATATAAGTATGCATAAAATATCACATATAAATCTTAAGATTTTTGGTTTAAACAAAAAATATTGTAACTCGATTGCAACACCAAACTTATTTTGGTTTGTTCTGTGGTTGATTTTAAAGATGTAGCTGTAGCTATCTAGACTAATTATTGCTATATTTGTATCGTTTTATCATTTAATTTAATTAATATTCTTAGCATTTCAGAAAAAAATAGTTTTCGATCTTTTCTATACAGGTAAATTAATCTTTTGTTCTTAAAATAAGTTTTAAAAAAATTAATATTGTCCAATATACTTATTGTCTGTTAACATACTTAGGTATTAGCTAATACTAGTATTGTGATTGTAAATGGATTTTTAATATTCAAGAATTCTTTATTATTAAAATTTGCCCCTTCATGAAGGGGCAAATTTAATTGCAATTGATATGAGAACCAAAAGTTTCAAAGTGGCTAGCTAAAAACCGAACAATAATTTATTAACTTTTACCTTTCTTTATGTCTGCACATTTAAATGTGCACAAAGTTAAAAATATTAAAATAAAATAAAAAACAATCCTGAAAAAAGTGTCAGTAGGTACTTTACATATTTAGTTAAATTGACTATAGAGCTTTAACATTTTAAACCTGTAGCTAAGGCACTAGAGCATTTTTACTTTATTTGTAGGCCTTTTATTCAAGACTTATTTTGGCAATATTTTTAGCATTTTATCATTTAATTAATAGCATTTAAAAAAACTCATTTTTAGTCTTTTCTATAGAGGTAAAATGATATAGGTGGATTTTGTTTTAAAAATAAGTTTTTTGTTATAACATTACATTAAAAAAAATGTTTGGTTTTATTTTTATTTTTAAAGGTTGAGTTAATTTTAATTGAGACCTACATACCTTTGGAAAGAGTTTTTCAAAATAAATTGTCAAATTTTACAAAATAAAATCAATGGTTCTTGTTAAAATTTATTTCTTATATTATAAAATGCATAAGTATACAGTATACACATTAACAATAATCAGTTTACCACTTAAAAAAACTATGTTAAATCACAATTAGGCTGGTAGGAGATCAAAGTCATCACTGACATGCACCATGGGTACATGATGTTCATCAATCGAAGGAGTGGATTTTCTGTCGCACAAACTCAGCTCCTTCATCTTCCATTCCCAGTCCATTTTTTGAACGGCATGCAACGATTCTGCTTCATTATGATGCCTTAACAGCATATGTTCTTTGATTTTTTCCCATTTGTCATCCACGTCTTGCAACCAGCTCAGGAAAAGACGACCTACAAAATAAAATAAATTATCAACATGTTTATACAATTTGTGTATGTGTACAATGTAATGTGAAATGAGAGAAGATTTATGTATTCAAGTATTCATGAATGCATTGATTCTGATAAAATTTCTATACTAAAATTTAAGTATCCGTGCGATTTTAATTAAAATGTCGACTTTTTCGATAGCCGACTTTTAAATCTTAAAAACGTTATATTGATTGCATAATTTTCCAAAATACAAATCCCATAGGGGACCATCAATTTGATTGACCCTGGAATGGGGTTGGGACATAATGTAAAAAATCAGTAAAAAACCTCTTTTATTTGAAACCGGTTTGCAAACAGTATTTTTTTCGGAATAATGAAGGATACCTGTTTTGGATTTTTTTAAATTAAAGTTAGCCAGCCGCAAAACTATACCAACACTATTATTGTTCAATCATTTATGCAAAAATTTTGTAAAACAAAGGAAAACTGACAGGAACACTGACACTGACTTGCAAATTTAGGGTTTTGGTTGGTAAATACAGTTGTCAAGTTGGTCGCATTGATTAAAACAAACTTATATGTTAGTTATAAATCTAATTTTAATTATGTATAAATTATTGTAGATTACATTGTGCAGTTGTCAAGTTGAGTTGTCGAAATTCGTAGTTTAAAATGCAATTAATTTGGCTTTGGTGGTGCTTGGATGAGTAAAATCATATAATAATCTTTGCTTTGAAAAGAATTTGTATAAAAGAAATTAAAATTGGCGAATAATGTGAAAATAATGTGTGATGTAATATATTTATAAAACCAAATTCGTAACTTTTTTACTCCAAAAATGTCCATAAGGCGATGTACTTTTTTTTCAATTGTGGCATTTGGCATAATTTCATCAAAATGAAGTTTTGCCCTCAAAAGTGCTTTTACATTCGAATTTGTTGCTATTATTTTTGGCATAATTATTTTTTTATTTATAATTGACAAGTAAATTATGAATAATAAATTTTATTATTATTGTCAATTTGACAGTGTCAAAGTATTTAATTAAATTCTTTAGCAGAAGTACCATTTTTAAATACTAAAAATACTAAGTCAAACTGGCATAAGCCACCAACCTAACAAAAAAACAGGAGTCCAGATAAAAAAAATTAAGTGTATATTGTGTGTCAAGTCTATTTTGACCAATAGTCCCGTTCCCGTTCTATTCCTGTTAAACGTCAGATCTGACGTTTGTAACATTTTTAGTAATCCAAGTTATTAGTAATATATTAATAATTAGAAATATTTTGGTTTTCATTTACTAAATTTATTCATTTATTTATGTTATTTTAAATTACTTTTTATAGCAAACAAAACAGTTTTTATAACTGGTACGGCTTGTCTATAAAAATTTGTTTTTATCCAACTATTCCATTCCATTCCTTAAATTTTCTTAATATTTTTCCAAAAGTTGCTCTCTTTATCTTTCTTTCATTACCTTCTCCAAAGTATTAATTTGTATTAAAATACTCTATATTATTAAATATCTATATCTATGATCTATATATTTGGGAAGTTTTTTATTGTTAAATATTAAATATCCAAGTAAATAGTAAAATTTTTAATATTAATAATTAAATATGATATTTAAAATATCCAACTAATATCTAAAGAATTAATCATATATCTGTAAATTCATAATAAATATTAAAATAAAAAACAATTTTTTGTTTTTAATTATTAAATATTAGAATTTCTTAAGCAATTTCTAATTTCTGAATATCCAAATAGGGGCCATTTTTATAAACAGTTAATATTATTTTTTCAATTATTCCTAAATTTATAATTACTTAGCGATAATAATTTAATTTATTAATCAATTTTTAAATAATTGAAATTATTTTGTTTTATTCAATATTATTTAACCAATAAAAAGTAAGTATTAAAAACTATTTTTTTGCTAATCTCTGCCTATTACCTTAAATTTTAAGGCTTAAAACCTTTTAATGATAAGGGCAATTTTCTCATTTCACATTTTATTATTTGCCTACTAGAAATTAATATTTTTATTAATATTTTTATTAATATTTTTATTAATATTAATTATTAATCTATGATCTATATATTTGGGAAGTTTTTTATTGTTAAATATTAAATATCCAAGTAAATAGTAAAATTTTTAATATTAATAATTAAATATGATATTTAAAATATCCAACTAATATCTAAAGAATTAATCATATATCTGTAAATTCATAATAAATATTAAAATAAAAAACAATTTTTTGTTTTTAATTATTAAATATTAGAATTTCTTAAGCAATTTCTAATTTCTGAATATCCAAATAAGGGCCATTTTTATAAATAGTTAATATTATTTTTTCAATTATTCCTAAATTTATAATTACTTAGCGATAATAATTTAATTTATTAATCAATTTTTAAATAATTGAAATTATTTTGTTTTATTCAATATTATTTAACCAATAAAAAGTAAGTATTAAAAACTATTTTTTTGCTAATCTCTGCCTATAACCTTAAATTTTAAGGCTTAAAACCTTATAATGATAAGGGCAATTTTCTCATTTCACATTTTATTATTTGCCTACTAGAAATTAATATTTTTTGGGACACAAGAAATAAAAAAAATATTACCATTATATCTAGACCGAGCATTTCTGTCTTTTTCTTCTTGTTCTGGCGTTATTAAATTATAAACCTCTTCGTCTTTAAGTATTGTACACACTGAAAACGGCAGCGATTGATTGGCCAAGGCTCTGGCTGCTCTGCCGTGTACTCTTAAAATTTCTTGTTCAACTGAAAGAACCAGTTTTTCTTTTTCAATGACATGCTAAAAAAATAAATTGGTATAATATACATAATGGAAAAAAAGCCAAAATCCTTACTTGCATTCTCAGTCTGTACCTCTCCTTCTCCTGTTCTGTAAATAAATCTTTCATGGGCGCTGGTAAAGTGGAGGGATATGAAATATTTGGAGTGTTTGGTGCAGTACCACCTAAAACATAGGTGCACCTATTCATCAAATAATCCTTAAATCCCTGTGGAGGTTTTGGTTGCACGGGATAAATTCCACGGCGACGTTTGTTTATCTAAAAATAAACAACACAAATATTGGGTTAAAAAATCAGAACATTTGATTACATAAACATACATTGATCATAAATGCATATATGCACAACTACGCGTATTTATTTAAATAAAACTCTCTGATCTTATTTATTAAGGGTTGATTCAAAGGCACCATAGTTTTAAAGGACTAGTTAACTCTCCCTGAATGCACTGTGTTAGTTTCCTAAACTGTTTTCTGTTATCTATGTAGGGTTTTAAAATTTCCGAAGAAATTGAGCCGGTGGAAAAAACAGTTTTCTTCTCGAAAAATAAACGGAAAAATTGGTAAATTTTCAGAAAAATTGTCGTTCGCAATTGGGTCATTCCACGTTACTCGGGGATTTTTGTCCCGCCCGTCACAATTAAAAATTGTGAGTAAATACTACACGTTATAAAATTTATTTAAAAATATTGTTTTATTATGCTTTTAATAAGTTATAAGCACAATAAAAATAATATTATAAAATATTAATTTTATAACTTGTGGTTTTTACTCACAATTTTTAATTGTGACGGGCGGGACAAAAATTACCGAGTAACGTGGAATTCCCCAATTCTTTTATTTTTTGAAAATTTCCAATTTCTTACAAAAAATATATGTATAGTGATATTAAGAAAAAATTCATTTCTGAGTCTGATTATAATAATTATTCCTTTTATTTTAATTCAGTAAAGAAATTGTATCTGGCCGCAAAAAAAATTCGGTGCTGTCTTAACATAACTATCGTTTTATATGACACATCAATTTATAAAATTATAATTTTGTAATTTAACTCTAAATCATTCATTATTTTCAAAATAATATTTTGTGATGGAATATTTTCCATGGATTCTCTTTTGCAAAAGAGACCCAACAGACAGTAAATTTAACGTTTCCGTTTATTTTAAATCAATTCAATTCAATGTTTAGTTTTATTTGTTTATTTCTGTAATAAAGGATTTTTTGTTATTAAAAAAAATAATGTTAAGTTGTTGATTGCTTCAAATTTTTTTTTAAATTCAATTTTTCCAAGGTTTGAAAATAAACGAAAAAAAAGTATTTTTCTCCAATTCTTTCGTTTTTTCCACACTTTAAAACCCTAATTCATTTTGGTGGTCATACTTATTTTGTAAAGTTTACTGATTTTTGGTCATTTTTTATGTCAATATTTTGGTTTACATTAAAATGTGTTTAAATCTTAGACTTGTACTTAGTATTGCCTTGACACTCGAAGTGGATAGACGCGTCAAGTAGTTAAAGATTCCTCTCCTAGCAGCGTATACTAGAGAAACGTAATAAAGTTCCAAAAACGGAAATATCGGTAATCGGTAATAAATAAATAAATAAACAATCAAGTGCGGAAAGTGTGATAAGTGCAAAAAAAAAAGTGCAAGTGTGAAAAGCGCGGGAGATCCCCTGTTAAAGCCGTAAAAGAGTGCAACTGAATAAGTAATTAAGGCCAACCGGTCCAACTGGTCAGCAGGGATAGTCACAACCAAAGCCTGTCAATAACCTGCAGGGAGGTCCAGAAATAACGGACAGACCGTGAGGATTATAGCCTAATAATCAAGCTAAGTAATTTTTCTAACTGCATGTCTTATTAAAAAAAAAAACCATTTTATTCCAAAAAATCTAAAGTAAAACGTATTATATACCGAAAAGTAAATTTCAAGTCCCAGCAAATAAACATTCCTATTGAGACAGACAACACTCAAATCATTACATAAACAAAACAGAAAAGGCAGATAAGACATTAGCTCCACCCCCCAAATAAACACTCGACTAATACCATAATAAATAAACGCCAAACCATAAATAATAAATAAACACAAACCATAACAAACATGGAAATAGTAAACACGATTGATCACTCCGTGGGAATAATTAAAATTCCATCCGATGGAAATTGCTTAGTGGCCAGCGTGGCTCATCAACTAGATAATAGCCTGACTGGGTCAACAAGTACATACGCTTTAAGACAATGACTAAATAACCACTTACGAACACACATTGAGACATACAGCCCATACTTACAGGATGCGATCCTTGACCAACCCCACCGCTACGCGCATAATAACGACTGGGAACGTAAAACAGAGGCGTACCTAAAGGACCACGCACAAAACGGCTTCTGGCTGGGTTTTGAAACAATAGCAGCATCGGACATATTTAACGTCGCAATCGAAATACATCACGAACAGGGGCGTACACGGAGAGAGGAATTTTGCCGAAATGGCTATCCGGGGTATTGTTGGATGACGTATCGTGGGTTTGGTCAACTGTTTTATTGGGCTGAGGATCAGTATAGCTAATTTAGCCATACAGATCCGCAGTTTAGTGGGACAGTTGACTGATTTCGCGATGCGTCGTTTGACGGTGCTTTGGATGGTTATTTTGGCAAAATTTTTCTCTCCATGTACTGACGAGATATCGCCCAGAGTCCTTCTAGAAGGAAAAACAATCACCAAACGTGTCAGGGTGGCACAACTAAAATACTGGGCACATGTCGACCCGGAGACGGACACAGAAACTGACGAACCGGAAGTAAACCAACAAAGATAGGAGTAAGCAAATAACTAACATACCCACCCCCCATTCACGAATACCAATTGAATGGGGGTACTACTAAGGCCTAGGTTCAGGAGGATTCCGGATTGTACTTAGTTTTGGGTCAGTTCAATGTCCTCCAAAAACCCTTCCTAAACTGGACGTATGGCCCGAACCGGCTGACAAAAATCCCGGGAGCGGCCTTAACCTTTGACACTGTCATCCACGAACTCCTAGGGTGGATCTACCAGCCGGCGTAAAAACTTCGGATCCAACAAACACAGGTAATGCTGTGATTTGGCGGGATACGCAGGAGAACGAAACGGGGGTAAAATAACACCGGGAGATCAGTGGATGATAATATATCTGGGGCCTGCCATACATTCCCATACTCATACTCATACTCATTAAAATGTGTTTAAATCTTAGACCTAACTACTTTTAAAATTATCGTTTTTTATGTTTAATCAGTGTTTTGTTAGTTTGAAATCAACGACGAATTATTTTTTAACCCGAAATAAGATGCAATAAGAAATGCAATAATAAAATCAGTTAACTTAACAAAATAAGTATTTTGTGATTTTTCTTACGAAAAATTGCATGGAATTCGAAATTTTCGACTTGCACAGTAAATAGTATATAGCATACCTGTTTTCTAATATTTAAAAACAACTGATAACAGTTGGTGATCGGTTGATCGTGCGGGTGTATTTGCGCTTCAGCAGGGGCTTCGGCAACTTCGGGTGCGGGCGCAACAGGTTCCTTGTTCGGCTTCATTTTTCTTTTTCGAGGATGCAACTCTACAGGAGCTGCCGTTGTTACAGGGGCACTAGTGGCCGGTGAAGCGGTCGCAGTTTCAACGTCATTATTTTGAGTTGCCTGTAAAAAACAATACAATATATAAATTTTAAAACGCACAAATATAACTTTCAAATTAAAGTGGGGCAACTTTTCAAGTTCGCCATTTTTTATTATTTTTTTATATGAAAAACTTCGAATTAATTTGCGATTCATGCCGCTTTTCCCTAATTTTCTTTGTATTTTTTTTTATTGAAAAACTTTTTTTTAGATCTAAAAAAAAGCTTACAGCCTTAGAATGAGAGGAACTGCACTTGCCAAATATGGCGAGTTGGGTTTAAAAAAAATACAGTGCCGTTAGATGTAAACCAGCCATCAGTTAACTCATATATCACATATTTGACAAGTGTAGTACCTCTCATTCTAAGACTGTACGCTTTTTATTTGCAAACGACTGTACATTTACCAATGATATTAGACACTTAATTTATAATCTAACTTAATAAATAATTAAATTTTGTGCTGGGTCAAAAAATCGATTTTTTTTAATATATATTCTTACAACATATACTTTTAAAAATATGTATTTAAAATTTCATCAAAATTTCATTTGCGGGACCTTTTTTGCAAAACCCTTCGTTCACAAAGGGGGTGATACTATGAGTATGTAGTTACTAATATTTTTTCCTTAACATCTGTTGAGCGGTTTTCGATATTTCATGCTCATTTTTTCATATTTTCCACAATTTTACATATTTTCGCCTACATTTTTTTTTACGAATACTTACCTATTTGTAGCTTTATAGTTCGTTTCAATATAATTATTATTATATACCAAAAAAAAATCACCAAAAACCGTTAATTTGTACGAGCTCATATGTATGTAACCCCTTAAACGCCAAAAAATAGTTATTTATTGTAAGTTGCAAATAAAATATAAATAGGAGTGAATTTTGACGTTCTGTTTAATTGTGTTTTATTAATTGTCATAAAAACTACTGCCTTATGAATGGATTATAGGCCAAATTGTCATCGGTGAATTTGCTATCACGGCATAATATTATTTATTTATCAAACTCTTTAAATGAAGATACTATCTTATATAAAAAAAATATTTTTCGTCAAATTAACAATGTGACACTACAAAATGTTAATTTATTTTTCAATGCATTCTTTTAGATCTACAATTTGCGCAGACAATATTGCGCCACGCAAAAAATATATAGGAACTCATCTTCATCGTCCTGATCAGATAAAATTTTTATTATTAATATTGAATTATTCATAATCTAACTCAAACATAGATAACAAACAAGATACATACACCTAGACAACCCCGAAATTTAAACCTTTATCAGAGATAGGTTATGTTGCCTCTTATTCACGCATTCAGTTTTCGCGTTCATAATGAGTCTGTCGTTCTTTTTTATCCTACTCACATCACTACATCTCAGATCACATTAACTTAAAATTATAATTTTAATAATTATTTGAGATATCAGCACAACTATTGTCAGTGGATTTATGAAGCACAAATTAACATTATCATTAAAAAGTTAAAATATACGTAATGCAATGGAAGGTTTTAAACAACAAATTAACATTAACTTTAACATTAAATTAACATTAATAGATGGACAACTTTCATTTTCCTAATAATAATGTTAATTTTTATTCCTTTAGAGCAGGTTGCGGCGCAATTGTTCAATAAACCGTGTCAGTATAGCCAACATACCCAAAAATAAAATGAAACCTGCTGCTGGATTATTCATTTTTTGTTTAATGATTGTGTTCTTTGGTTTATCGTTTGACGTGCAGTTGAATAGCGTTTATCGAAAAGGAACCAAGCGCCAAAAACTTTTTTGGGGTAAACAAAATTATTTGCAAAATAACTCATTTTTAATGCTGCTCAAAAAATTAATAATGATTTGGTAACCCTCTCAATCCTTTTGAGTTTCAAATGATGATCAACCTTTTGAGCATTAGTAAAAATTATTTATTTTACAAATAATTTTACTAAGCCCAGACAAAGTTTTTAGCGCTTACTTCCTTTTGGATAAGCGTTATCTAGTTTATAGTTTTTATTCATTTTACTAAAATAAGCTAAAACGTGGTTAAAACCAAATCCAAACAAACCAAAAAATGTCAGATGTCAAAATATGTTTTTCTACTCCCACCTTTAAAACGCCCATTATCGTACACGTTTCCATGACACTAAAGCCCGCCGCACAATAGCCCGGTAACGGGAACGGGAATCCTAACAATAAAGGTGGGAGAGACTAAAAAACCACTGTTGATAGATAGGGTTCGATGAGTCTCTCCCACCTTTACCGTTTAGTTTCCCGTTCCCGTTACCGGGCTGTTGTGCAGCGGGCGTAAGTGACCTTTATGGCGTTTTAGTCACGGGCTGAAGTTAGCAACAGGTTTTTAGTCACGGGCCGAAGTTAGTTTTAAGTTAGTTGACCGTTTTCAAGTGTCATATAATCGTTAAAATAAAGTGCCTTTCTTGTAAAATAATACTAAATGTGAAAATTATTTTATTATCTCAATACAAAAGTATTAAATAGTTTCTCAAAGCCAATATTTGAAAAGTTTATATGAACATTGTACTGACCTTTTAATTTTGCCGGTAGTAAACTATAACTAAAATTCGGTCACTGTAAAGTGCTCATAAAACATTTTCTTTACTTTCACTGTGAAAAACTGTCTATTTTCAAGGAATACATTTTGATTTATAACCTTTATATTCTGTGTTTATAAAATATAAAAATTTGACATTTGACGGTGACACACAGATTCCCCTATTGTTTCATAGATGACGCTCTATACAAATATTTGATTTAAGGCATTTTAAGATAATAATAAGTATTTGTCGTAGAAAAAGTATAGTATGCACCTCGTTTATAAACTTTTCTATATACTCATTAATTTAAGAACTCGCTCGTAAGCTCGCTCGTGACTAAATTAAATTCGTGTATAAAATGGCGTTTATCAAACTTGATACATAATAAACTATTAACTTACGCGCACGCCTAATAAGTCACTAATTTTGCTTAATATTAATGTGTGCGGCTAAAATCCATCATAATAATTGACTCATGTATAATGTATAAGGACCAGTTCTTCGTAGACATTAGATTTTATTCTTATTTTTGTGAAAGTGTTAGTACTTTTAAAAGTAATTTATTATAAATAAATCTAAGCAATAATAAAATACTAATAAATGTTTTATTTAGCCCAACTTTTCTACATGAATCGATAATTGTCTCAAAACCCTGACATATATTTAAGCAGTTAAAATATACCCAATTGGGCAAAGTCACATACGTTATGTTAAACTAAATTTTTAAAATTAGTAATTTCGGTTTGATTTACCTGCGAATCAGAAGTTTTAGCCGTAGTATTGGTCGAAGTGCTCGTAGAGGCGGCCGGTGCATCGGTTTGGTTAGAGGAGGCGGCCGGAGAAGCCGTAGGTGACGGCGAGTGTGATCTTTGCAATTGCGGTGAGGAATTATTGCTGCCTCTATCGGTACCTTGTGCTCCACTACGGTGTGAACTACGTAGAACCCGCTGATGGCTACCTCTCTGTAATTTGTTTTAAATTAGAAATAAGAACACTGTGGTAGCTTTTGAAACTTGTTTCCGTATTTCATGTAATGAGTCAAGTGGAGTAAGAAATTACGTGGTAACTTTATTTGAAATATTTTGACGGATAACTACTTTAAAATGTGTTTAAATACATTTTTAAAAATAAGCCCTTAAACTACGACGTGGAATCATTAGGTGTTTTTTAGTTTTATTGTTATTAATAAGATTTCTTCAAATTAAAATAAGTTATATTTAACTATTTGGGTTTTGTATTTCAGGAACAATTATTGGTCAATGATACTAACAAGTTAAGGTGGCTTCCTTAAGAACATAAAAAGGGTTTAATACAACTTATACTAGATTTAAAAAGTTTCAAAAATTAGTTTCCCATGTTTTGTCCAGGGTTGAATAATAAAATATTAATTAACATTAAATTAAATTTATCATGTCTTTTTCCACAAAAAAATATTTTACCCAGTAGTACATAATTTAAAAAATTTAAATTAATTATTTACCGTAAACTCAACTACAGGCGCGGCATCGAATAAACACGAAAAATCAACGGTAGAAACTTCATTGGATGACATTTTTAGATAAGCACTGATTAATCACTTGTTTGGTATTGTAAATATTCAGTTTGTTTTTCAAATTTAACAGTTTATTTATTAACCTAAATAAATAGGTATAATGTTCTTAAAAGGTATTTTAAATTGAATAGAGTATTGGGTTTTATATTTTTAATCCTAAAATAGGTAAAAATGATGAATAAAGCATTATTTAACTAAATTACCTAATTGATTTTTAATTATAAACTCGAAATAGAAATTATAGGTATGATTCTAACATTCACATTTTATTGTTTTGAATTTTTTTTTGTATTTAAACTGAGAAGTTGAGAAATATAATGAATTCAATTAAATATTATTACTACTTATGTAAATATAAAAACAACACCGCTTGAGAGTTTGATAAAAGTAACAATTCTAAAAAACTTAATTTTTTTAAAAATCCGGGCATAGATATCGGAGATAAAAAAGTTTATGTAAAAACAAAAAAAACTCGATAATTTAAAAATAAAAAATGTTTATTTTAAAAATTGTTGATGAGATCTACAAATTTTATTACATTGTCCCTTTTGAGTATAGGACAAACTGATCCTAACTTCAAAACTTAAATAAACGAACATATGAGGTCATTTATAAATGAAAATAGATTTAACTCCACCATTAAGTTTGTATACATTCCAGTGGCGGCTGGTGGATTTTAAGTATACCAATATCTCAGTTATTAGACATGGGACCCACACCAAATTTATAATAGTTTATATTGACATTAAATAAACAAGTTCGGCGCAAACAGAATTTAAATTGAAGTTTGCGAAAAAAAGTTAGTTTTTCCTGTCGCCTACCCTGCCTCCAGGCCCCCCTATTTGAGATAATTTAAATTAAAATGGTGCAATTTATTATCTACTATAATTTATCGACAAATTTAAAATTTTATTTAAAAAATCCAAATATTACAGTTTTTATACCATTTTAAATATTTTTTTATTTTAATAAAATAAATAATAAAAATTTAAAATCGAATAAAATCTGTAATATTTGGATTTTTTGAATAAAATTTTAAATTTGTCGATAAATTATAGTAGATAATAAATTGCACCACTTTAATTTGAATTATCTCAAATAGGGGGGCCTGGAGGCAGGGTAGGCGACAGGAAAAACTAACTTTTTTTCGCAAACTTCAATTTAAATTCTGTTTGCGCCGAACTTGTTTATTTAATGTCAATATAAACTATTATAAATTTGGTGTGGGTCCCATGTCTAATAACTGAGATATTGGTATACTTAAAATCCACCAGCTGCCACTGATACATTCTAAAGAAGCTACAGTGTATCAAAACAATAATTGTCAAATTTAAATATTTTGTTTTTATATTTACATAGTAGTGATGTAAAGTTTCATCAAATAAAGGTTAAAACAATTATTTATTTAAAAATCATTTAATCAATTACTTAAATATTTAATAAAATGTATTTGAATTAAAGCGCAAGATAATTTAATTTAAATAATTTTAATAATTATTAAAATTATTTAAATTAATTCTGTACCATAATCTTATGACTTAAAAATTAAAATTTGCAGTTTCATTTTTAACAACACTGTTTACATTTTTGTAAAATAATTATTATTATTTTCTTATTATTGATGCAACGATTACAATTGCGATTAATTATTGTGGCTTCGGCGATTTTTTTAGTTAAATATTAGAGCAAATCCAAGAAAACCATGAAAAAATAAAAGACATAAGAAGAGACATAATAAAGGGTTTTCCATTTAAAGCGTCATAACTTTAACCCTAAAAATAAGGCTGCTCTGGAATGTAAATGTCAAATCTTGACAACACATGTGTTCAGTACATTGTGTCAAATTAATATGGACAGATAACAATTTAACAGCGCTTAGAAATAATTCGTATTTACCATCAAAATGCATGTTCGGTTTGCCAAACATTTTGCAAGTTGCGAGAAATATAAGGTTTATCGTTTAAGAAAAAACTGGTTTACTGGCAAATAAGTCAACTTTTGTGCATCTAAAGGATCATGTGAAATCTCAGGTTTACAAAAATAAGCCACGAACAATTCTCGACCTTAAACGAAACATTAAACGCACTATTCAAAGTATACCACGCGATATTTGTAAAAGAATAGTAGAAATTAGGCCCTCATAATGCATTCAGTCAGGCAAAGTCGAGGGGGACATTTAAACGATATTATATTTAAAACATAATGTTATTTTTTTATCTGATTTAAAAGTTCTGACGCTCTAAATGAAAAACCCTGTATATACTGTGCATTTTAAGTCAAATTTTAAATTTTCATAGAATATTTTTTTTTCGTAGTATTCAACAAACTCCTAATGATTGTTGGCAAAAGTTCGACATTAGGTCTTTTTTTAAATATTTAAATAAAAAACAAATTATCTGGAAAATTTTATTCTTTTTGTGCTAATTTTATAAACAAAAAGCTTTTTTCTAATTTTGGAAATTTAAAATGAATATAGTTTATATTAACCAAAGTATACAGAAGATTGTATACAAATTTCAAAATGGGCTGTTAAATATTCCTAAAAATATTAATAATTGTTGTTGATCGCGCTCTCCAAATAAAAGCTGTTAAAGAGGCATGATCAAGCCTGTGCGATTAAAATTTGAAATTACAAATACGGATGGGTCAAATTATAAAAAAAGTTAGTTAAATCTTATTCTATTTACAAACGGTTGTATAAAGATCGATTTTTCTAGTCCTAAAATATCCACAATTGTCCATATGATTTTAAAAAATAGGTGTCATTTTTTTGTATGCTAAACGAAAAAAAAAATATTCCAGGCAAATTTAGATTTTGACTGAAAATTTGACGTGAATGACCCATTATGTTAATATTTTTTTAAAGGAAATATCGTTTTTCTACAACCAAGCGCAAAGTACAAATTTGCGCTTCCAAAAGAAAGCACTTTTCCGAGGAGCGATCGTTTTTTTTACTCGCCGAGCGAGCGAGTTACTTTGTCGCTCGCTTAGTTACCATGGAAACCATGATAAAGAAACGTTTAGTGTATTTGCGACTTTTGACATAAACGTCAAATTTGAGGTTATCAATAATTATTAATTTTTACCAAAAAATCCTGTGTGTAATTCGAGCGTAAAGTGACATTGCCGCTCTCGCGAGATAGCCAAACTTCTCGCTCAAGGCGGCAATGTATCACTTTGCGCTCTTAATACATAAATAGCTATTTTATTATTCTACTACGGCACCCATTTGTTTTTTATTTAGGAATTATTTATTTATCTATTAAATTTCACATATCTTAGTCTTGTTCTTTCAACACTTGAAGTGATAGGTTGGGCTACGGTCGTTAACGAGAACCCTCCTAAGCAGTGTAAACGATACAAACGCAAGTACCAAAAACGAATCTAAGAATCCGACAATACCGGTAATATCGGATACAAGCGATTCAAAAACCAATAAAACAAAATCAAAAATAATAAATTAAAAATATTAAGTGCGAAAAGTGCGGGTGGCCCCCGGTTTAAGCCACAAAGTGCTATAACTTCGTACGAGTGTGTGAGTGAATGAATGATTAAGGCTAGGCCAAAACGATAAGCCTACCGGGCTACCTGGGTGACCGCCACAATCAACGCTTGCCAAAAACTTGCAGTCGTGGTCAAGGAACAACGGACAGCCCGTTAAAGACAAAGCATGAGGATTTCAAGTCTAATTAATCCAGCTAAGTAATTTTCCTAATTGCATGTCCTAATAACAATACCAATTCTATTCTAATATATAATCTAAACGTAAAACTTATAACTTCGCAACGTAAATTACCAAGAACCCCAGCTGGCATCAGAAAATAAACAGATCCCTATAAGGATAGCCAACCCATAAATCAATCCATAAACAAAACAGAAAAAGGCAGACATTAGCACCATTCCCCAAATAAACATTCGACTAAACCCATAAATAAACGCCATAAATCTTAATAAACCCAAACCAAAACAAACATGGAAATCGTCAATACGATTGATCACTTAGTAGGCATAATTAAAACTCCATCCGACGGAAAGTGCTTAGTGGCCAGCTTAGCACACCAACTAGACAATAGCCTGACTAGGTCAACAATAGGAAGTACACACGCATTAAGACAAAGACTAAACTACCACATCAGAACCCACATAGAGACATACAGACCATATGTACAGGATGCGATCCTTGATCAACCCCACCGTTACACGCATATTAACGACTGGGAACGCAAAACAGAGGCGTACTTAAAGGACCGCTCAGAAAACAGCTTCTGGGTGGGATTGGAAACAATAATAGCAGCATCGGACATATTTAACGTCGCAATTGAAATACATCACGAACAGGGGGCACGTAGGAGAACGTAAAGGGGGTAAAAATAGTCCCAGGAAGATCAGTGTAAGGCGAAGCCGATGGGGCCTGCTATACGTCTCTATACTCATACTCAATTTCACATATCTCTAAAATATTTAAAAATGTCAAATAAGAAACTAAAAAAAATGTTAAAGAGATATTTTTAATTTGTTGAATAAAAAATTTAATACAACAAATTTATAATTTTAATTAACAATATCTACTATTCATGAAAAATTTAATTTAATCAAATTAAAAATATCATGAGAAATTTTTAAAAGAAATAAAAATATCATAGTGGAAATTTATAATTCAAATTAAAAATATCATAGAACAAATTTATAAATCTAGTTAAAAATATCATAGGGGGAATTTATAATTCAAATTAAAAATATTATGGAAGTAGGTATTTATAATTCGATTCATTATAAAACTAACACAATAATACAATAACAATAACAGTTATTATACTATACTATAATATACTTACAACTGTTGAGCCTCAGATAATAAATTTATTATTAAGTACATACCTATTTACCTATCTCTTGTTATTACAAATATTATTACATTACATTACATGCATATTTTTGCCAATTTAAACTACCGCGGTATACCGGTTACAAAAAATACTTATTATTATTATTAAGATAAATGCACTAATAATGGTAATGTGTAATAATAATTATTATTGTAATAATTATAATAATAAGATATAGATTAATAGGTATGTGCCACAGACACAGGTCTGTGGTATGTAGGTACTCATTAATGAATTTATTCGAGGACTGCGTTTATTGATATATGAAGCTCAACAGTTGGGAGTAGTTCTACTGTACTAATACCGCCATCTATAGTGCGTTTTTTAAGTTCAGTGGGAATTAAAAATATGACTTTTAAATAAAAATATCTGTTTTATTTTTTATGGTATTAATGACTCGAATTATAAATATCTTTTGTCTACTCCTCTATTGACGAGCTGTGACATTATGGCGGTTTAGTCACGGGCTAAAGTTAGCAACAGTGGTTTTTCGGCTTTTAGTCACGATTTGAAGTTAGCTTTATTATAAATTGGTCAAAAGTGAGGTTAAGCTTGGGTAACAGTTGACAGATGTCAAACTTTAAACACATTAAATTTGCTTTAAATTCTGTTTTGTGTTCTTCGTAGATAAAGCAAAGTATGTAACTCGTTTATAAACTTCTCTAGACACTCGTTTTTATTAAACACTCGCTCAAAAGCTTCGCTCGTGCCTAATTAAACTCGTAACTGAAATAGCGTTTATAAAAGTTGATACAAAATATACTATTATGATATTTTTAATTTAAATCATAAATTTATTCTGTGATATTTTTAAATCAAATTATAAATTTCTCCTATGATATTTTTAATTCGAATTTCTCTTATGATAATTTTATTTTTAATTATAAATGTCTCTTATGATATTTTTAATTCATTTAAAAATTTCTCAAATGATATTGTAAATTCGAATTATAAATTCGTGCTATGACATTTTTTATTCAACGAATTAAAAATATGAATATCAATCCACACCACAAGGTCTGTTCTATCTTGTTTCGCGCATACTAAAAATGACTGAGTTGTGTGGATTGTGAGTTAAACATATGATATTTTTAATGCAATGAATTAAAGTCCTGACTTGGTATCTTTTATTTATAAATAAATACTGGAATAAATATTACATTTGCAGCTTTAATTCGAGATTTCTGAAATTGATTTAGAGATATGTAAAATTCAAAAGATAAATAAATAATTCCTGAATACAAAATTAAAACGGCGCGCCATATTTTCCCTTTCGTTTATTAATCGGACGATTATAATAAATATTGGATGTAGAATCTTAACCGTTATCGTAATCGTATATCAATAGTTATTATTACTATTTGAAATTGTTCCTACCTCGTCATCCCCCTTTCCTCCACCTTCTTTCTTCTCCTCTCCTTTGGAGCTGCCAGCTCCGTCTGGACTGCCCGCCGTTGCCATATCGTTCGCGTCGTTGCTATTCGAACTGGCAACGACGTATGGCAAGGCTTGATGCGCCCTCTGTGAACTGTTTTTGCCGTTCCTGCTGGTCGGCTCCTGTTCGCTGCTGCTACTTTGGGGAATTACGATTTTTAGAGGAGGCACTTTCAAATCGGTTTTACCGTCTTCTACCTAAGAAATAAAGATTCATAAGGGAGGTTATATTTTAACGCCATTAATTAATATTGTAGCGAGTACCGCTCTGGATCTCGGAATGATGACTGATCGGCGATGAGTGATCGCCGGTGAGTCAGCGCTCGAGCGATCGAGAGCACACCGGAGTTCGCTGGAATGTTCGGGAAGGCGCTTGCGTGACTAGTGTCACGTAGGCACTGAATATATAAGGAACAGCGCAGCATGGAGCAGCCAGTCAAGCTTTAGTACTCGCGACGAAATAAAATAAATATACGTGCTGATAAATAGACTCTTGTGCAGTAATGATATATAAATAATTAGTACTTAAGTGATAAGTGATATAGTTTCTTTATAGTTTTTTAATTATAATTAAGTTATAAAATAAATAGTTTAGTTCGTTAATAAACCAGTGCGTGTTTTAATTCACACTACGAACAGTAAAAACGTAACAATATCATAAAGAAAACATAAAAATAATAGTGACGATTTTTATATTGTTCTTAGTAGTTAAAATTAGACATTTAATATGTGATAAAACATTCGAATTTATAATTGTTTGTCATTTTAATAATTAACAATTACATTACTGAATAAGTTTTAAATTATAAAAAAATGCATTTTAAGAATCATTTTATTTTAAAATGACGCACTAACGGTATGCCACGCTGGGGAGGGTTTTTCCCAGAATTTTCGCACCACCTTAAAGGTTTATGATCTATGGACACCCAGGAATCCTAGAAAATTGTTTAAAAAAATCTACCTTCGTTATTTAAAAAGATAGAGGGGATACATATTTTTTTAAATGGCAACATGCAAACTAATAAATTTGTAGATTTATTTTTAATCATCATGACAACAAACAACAATATTAAAAAGTTTTAAATTCGATACTTTTACTTGGAGGTATTTAATTTACGTCAGACTTGACGGAAGCAAATACAGGCAGTCCCTGTCAGGAACTAATAAAACCATAGATGAATCCACAATGTGTGGATTGTGGATGAATCTACAGGTTGTTCCACATAAAATTTCCGTCCTGGAAAATGTTGATCTAAGATGCACCGTGCTCGAGCAGCATAATGCGGGGGTCACCGTCATGTTGAAAGGTCAGCTGATTTTCAAAAAAACGTCTCCGGGTACTAAAAAATTTACAACATAATTAAGGTTTTAGTCCCCACAAGCTCGGCTAACAGGTCGGTGGGTAGGTAGGAGAGGTCCTGTATTGTGGCCGCCTAGGTCTCCCGATCTTTCGCCGCTGGATTTTTTCCTTTGGGGACACCTTAACTTAAAGTTTATGCCACTTCACCATAAGATCTACAGGAATTGCGGCAAAGAATTATCAACGAGTACCGATTGCTGACAGAGCTGTGTCTAAGGACATGTTTGAAAATGTCCGAAATTATTTTGAAAACAGGCTGTTCTACTGTATGAAGGTCGGTGGAGGCTATTTAGAGCAGCTTATTCGCTATTTTTAGTTGAACCTTTTTTATTTTGCTTTCTTTAAATGTTTAAAATTCAACTTCTCTGCTGTCAATCAACAGAAATTAAAACAAAGCACACTGTTGAATTCAGAATTGAATGCGATTTCCTACTATATGTAACTCGACCCCTTATGCTATTTAAGATTCTTGAAGGGGTTGCTCCCCCGCTTTAGGAGTTGAGTTTAGAATAGTAAATTTAATGTTAAAAGTAGTCCACCCTGTCGTAGAAATTGACGTGTTTTAGGATTTTTTATAAAACCTTTTAGTTTACCCTAGGAACACTCTGTATAAAGAAAAACTAAACAAATATTAACATTGCATTGTCACACACGTGTGCACATGCTAAATGACTCTTGTATTTTTTTAAGCATTCGAGAAACAACATATCACAATACTATGACAGAATCTAATTTTGAATTTTAATTGTCAATCATTGTCTATGGTGTGATATCAACAGATAACAATCAATTAACCAATTAATTGTTGTGATAATCAATTGTTGCACATCATGTTGCCAAACGCACGCGTTTTGTTAAAGTAAAAGATTCATTAATTCCTAATGAAACCATTGTTTGGCCATTATGTACATTAGACCTAATCTATATAATACGACTTAAAATAAAACGATTAAGTTTAAAAACTCAATGTTTACACTTTCATTTCTTTTAAATACCCTTGTTAAAATGTCACATAGAGGTCCTGTTCAAACCGATAGATTTTTGTATCGGATTGTATGGTGTTTCTATAGGGTGAATCGGTATGTATAGGACCCATAGTTGGGATTTATGGTTGTTCTATAGGAAAATCCTTCCTTGATTTATTTGCTATCGGTCTCAATAGGGAAAATACACATAAAAGTAGAAATTAGTTTTTCTCCCATAGGACCCCATAGAATTTAACAAAATTTTGTCAAATATTTTATGGTTGCTCTATAGGGATATCCCTATATTTGAGTTATTTGCTATCAGTCTCAATAGGAAAAATGTAGAAGTTATGGTGTGCCTAGGTAATTTCCTATAAATTTTCTCGGGCCGTACCCGGAAATAACCACATAATGAGTCCGTTAGCGCTCGATAGATTATTTTTATGGGTCTCTATGGGGTATTTTAAGCAGGGTAATGAAGGTAATTTTTTTAAACAATTTTCGGGGATTTGGTACTGACATTTTGCGGGGCAGTGCCTTTTTTCCTTAAAACCACGCGAGCGAAGCCGAGTGTCTACAGCTAGTACCAAATAAGCGTAAAAAAATGTTTAAAATAAAATTGTATTGAACTAAACAGTAAAAAATATTATTTACTGTACGAAGTTAAAGCTACAGAAGAGCCAACAAATTTTAAAACTTTAATTACCAATTTTATGAAATATGTCCAAATAAAAAATCTTACCTCTGCATCGCTAGTTGAACCAGTTGGTTTTGGACTAGAGCAGGGACTTTTCTTTTCGACAGTCGTTGTTTTGGCAGCGTTTAATGTTGCCGCTTTGCCTTGTCCAGTGACAGTTTGCTTGCTGTTTTGTCCCTTGTTAGGTCCTGCATTTCTTGGAGTGGTCGTTTTGCCTTCCTTTGTTGTTCCCTCGTCTTTTCGCTTCTTTCTCTTCGACTCGTCATCGTTTCCTCCGTCCTCGGAGTTGTCCGCAACTTCGGCAAAATTCCTTTTGGTCGTCTCTTCGGCCGTCGTGGTCGGTATACTCAGCGGATCGGTAGCGTCCGCTTCGAGTTCCAATTCCGAAGCCTTCTGTTCAGGCGAAGAGTCCGATTCCTTCACTGATTTGAATTCGTACACGTCCTCCGAATTGGTGGGTGTCTTGGAACTTTCCATTGTTTCATCTGTGGAAACTGATTTTTGCTTGCTAGAGTCGGTAAGTTTTTTGTCATCCCTTGAACGAGGTTGCAATCTTGATGTAGTCGTAGATTCTGAAATAAACGAATTTATTTAATATATTAACAAACATTATTGTTTAAAATAAATATTGCTGTGTTGTAAGGTCTGTTAATTTATTAGGTTCATAATTAAATACCGGGTTGTTGTAGGCCGGCGCACGGTAGTGATGTAAAAGAAGTACCTACTCGTTACTTTGTAACGGGTATTTGCCCAATACTCAAAGTACCGATTCCTTGTTGTTGGAAATACTCGTTACTCGTTACTTTTATACCTATACCCTATAATGCCTAAATTAATTACCTAGTATATTGTTTGTGCTACTTCTGTTCCGTGCGAACGCATATTTTCCAAAGCCGATCAAATAGTAACCGAACGCAGAAACCGATTAAAATCATCTAATGTGGAAAAACTACTATTTTTGCATTGTAATAATGATTTATAAAAATATGCAGTATAAATTAAGTTATTTTTTAATTTTCAGTTTAGTTTTTTGTTTTGTCTGATATTTTATTTTATATAGTTTTTTGTTTTGATATGAAAATTAAAATAAAGAAGTTTTGTTTATGTTTAATAAAATCCCTGTTCTCTGTTATATTTTTTTAATTTAAAAGTACCAAAAACTATTATCATTACCATTACCTCCTAAAAATACCAAATCGCCTATAATTCATAGGCATATGCGAATAAAAAATAATAAAAGAGTAGAGTAACCATGTGCTCAGTTTTGTACTGATACTGAAGACTAATAGTACCGAAAGTAACGAATATAAAGTAACGGGTATTGATATTAAAAGTAACGAATCGGTACAAGTATTCAAAAATAACGAAAGTTTACATCACTAGCGCACGGCAAAATGGGGGATGTTTTTTCGTAAACCCAAATAGGTGTAAAAAAAACTAGGTTCTGTAAAAATACCGAAAATATTTCCCATCAGCATGTACTAATGTAAATGCATAAAATTTGGTGTATACTGAACTATGGTTTCGCGTAATAAATAAATTAGAATAAAAACTTTATTTTTTTATGTTGCGACTATTTAGATATATTTTTGTAGTTATTTTTCATTTTTTTTATATTTAATATAATGCTATACAGGGTGTTTCTGGAGAAACGCAAACGATATGGATTTGAAATTTTAATAGCATATATAATTGCCGACATTTTTTAAAATTTATTTATTAAACCTTAAAAGAATACAGGATTCCATATCAGGTACTTTAGTAGCAGTTAGTTTTTTTTTAAATAACAAATTACAAATATAAATTATTTACAAGTGGATATAAAATAATTTAAAAATATCACAACATTTACACAGAGAAATTGATATATAGTGTTCTTGAGCCAGAGAAGTAAATTTTTTTAGATTCTGTTGGTTCCTAATTTGTTCTGGGAGATCGTTGAACCATTTAAGGGCAGTTTAAGTTACTCTTTTTTTCCTGAGTTTGAAATTGAAAATGATAAACATATAATATTGTAAATTTTGCCTTGTAAAGTAACTGTGCTTAACACAGTTTCTCAACAGTGTAACACCTGTATTGATCAAACTATTCCTTATCTTATAAATCATTTTTACACTATCCAGCTTAATTAATTCATCAATAGTTAGAATTCTTAATTCATTGTGTGAGTTCTAGGCGATTTATTAAATAATAATTTTATTAGTTTGTTTTGCGTAGTTGAAGAGTTTTGAGGTCCTTTCTTTTTGCTTGTCCCCAAAAAGCAGGGAGATACATCAGGTGCAGTGGCGGATCTAGGGGGGGGCAAGCCGGGGCCCATGCCCCGGGCGCCAAGTTCAGAGGGCGGCCAAATTCACACTTTACAGACGAATGACGAATGGACAACTCATCATTTACTTAACTTTGACTACAGAATAAATAATAGTACAAGTACAGAAATTTCACTCTTGTTTTACTGTGGCCATATCAACTCGACCGATACCCACGTGAGCTGTACCACGTGACCGGGCGCGGCGAGAGCGCGGAGTGATACGCGCTTCACGAACATTTTTATTCGCGAGGCGCGTAGGCATAGTTCAAAATACGCGCCCGCTCGCCCGCAGAAATCCCAGATCGAGGCAGCACGCGTCTGGTTACCGTGCGTGCGAAAGGGATGAAGCATATATTTATTAGGTTTATAAAGAACTGTCCACGCCTCTCACTTTCATCTATTTCATTCCAAACTGTGGGCTATATTAAAAGCGCTGTTATGCGCAAGCGTCACTAAACAGCAGTGTTTAATTTATTAAAAATTTTACATGTATGTTTTTACTGTAAAAATTTTACACATAAAATATTGATATTTTCTATAAAATAACTTTGTAATTTAATAATTATAAGAATGTGGGGACTGGATTTCCCACTCTTGTCTGTCAGTACAATTTAAGTGATTTTTATAATAATTTTTATTTATTTTATTTTTATTGCTATGTATTTCGAATTATTATTAGTCAGTAATTATGTTTAAACTTTTCAGGTAGTAGGTTGTAAATAGTGTATTGCAGAGAGCGTGTGTTTGTTACCTGGAGCCTTGTAAAACATTGGAGTTTCCTGTCATCGGTAAACATCCTTTACGATTGCTTACTTACCTCTCCGGTTTCTTTACCGAAAGTAATTTATTTAATTTTATTTTTATTACCCTTTTATAGAGGCGCTTTGATTTTTCCAAATGTTTCCTACCTATCCCCTGCCACGATTAGGGGTGGGTGGCCAAAGGGCTCTTGGAAAATGCCGTGGTCTATCACGAGACACAACGTACTGACTGCCCGTTTTGAGTACATCGGCTCCGGGTGACAACACATAAAAATTATAATTCTGTTTGTGTATATATGTGTATTGTATTGTATATTGTGTATATGTAGTGTAATAAAGTTAAGTTTGTAAATACCTCGCCGTCGATCAATTTGCACACAACTACCCGCACCAAAGCAGTCGCTAAAAGAACATACAAATTAAATTTTAACTTTCTAAATTCTTTAAGTAATATTTTTTTAAAATTATGATAAAAATCTCATATAAACTGCGCACCACTCAATGTGTCGCGACCAAAAAGTTCGTTCTTTTTCAAAACGACATAACTTTTTTGTTTCTTGAACAATTTTATTTTGGTCTGTGATGTCTCCTAGCCCCATCCTCTGGCAATTCATGATATAGATATGAATGGTCAATGTTCTTCAAGTAAATTTCCTACAGGGTGATATGTTAAACATTGAAAAATTTCAATAACTTCATCCAAGCCCCGTTTGTTAAAAAATATTTTTTTTCTCGTTTTTACTTTGAAATAATGAAGTATTATGTCTTACCTTAAATCTTTTTTCAAATTTTTCGAATTGGAATCGTAGCAACGTAAATATGATTTTTTTTTTAAAAGAGTATATATACTATGTATACATTTAAGGCTTTTTTGTAGGAAATTTAACAGCCGGGAATTGTTTTCGAATTTTGATTCTTAGTGATTTTGGTTTTATCTGAAACTTAAATTTGACAACTGAATCCCAATCAGGAGGTCAAAAACATGGCACGAACGTAAATATCGGTTCAGGATTGGTTTTCGCAAATTTTCACCAAAATGTCATTTTGAAAAAGTGGTCTTTGCTTAGGCCCCTCTAAAAATAATGGAAGTTTGTTGCTTGTCAGAATTTTTCAAGGAACAATCTTTCACTATCTTATCTCCTTGTTCTTAAAAAGACTGAGTGCATTGCCTACTAAAAAGCCCTAAATGTACTCTTAAAAAAAATCATATTTTCTTTGCTAAGATTCCAATACAAAAAAATTTAAAACCTTTTCAAGGTAAGACATAATACTTTATTATTTCAAAGTAAAAACGAGAAAAAAAATATTTTTTTACAAACGGGGCTTGGATGAAGTTATTGAAATTTTTGACCGTTTTACATATCACCCTGTACGAAATTTACTTGAAGAACCGTGAGCTTCATATCTATAGCATGAATTGCCAGAGGATGGGGCTAGCAGAAATCACAGACCAAAATAAAATCGTTTAAGAAACAAAAAAGTTATGTCGTTTTGAAAAAGGACGAACTATTTGGTCGCGACACATTGAGTGGTGCGCAGCTTATTTTAAACTTTATGAAAATCTGACCACAACAGCTGATTATAGTACTTGCTATATATATATATATATATATATATATATATATATATATATAGCTGAAATTATAAAGATGATAAAGGTAAAAATAAATATAAGTGGGCGGGGGCGGCATTTTTCAGTTTTTGCCCCGCCTAAAAAAAATTGAAGATCCGGGGCTGATCAGGTGGGAACGAATATACGCATTATAGACTAGATAATTTGTTCTGTTATTTATTAGAGTTGAGTTCTTACGAAGGTAATAACTAATTGAATATATTTTAGTTTTTAAAGTTTTTATGTGCTCACTAAAATTTAGGGAATTATCTAAATTTAGTCCTAGATACTTAGCACTGAGTACTTGTTTTAGTTCTGTATTATTTAATTTTAGAGCATTATTATCACATTTTCTTTTATTGAACACCAGGTAGTTGCATTTCTCTTTATTCAGTTTAATGTTATTGTATTTTGTCCATTCACTAATAGTTGTCAGGTCACTTGCCTTTTCAAAGACTTCTTTTTCAGTTCCTGCATAAAAGAGTCCCGTATCATCAGCAAAGAGCACCATGGTGTTGAAATTTTTGGAATAAAAACATTGTTTAAATAATTTATTTTTTTAAAGGTTTTTCAACAAATAGCTTGAGAAAAACCACTTGAAATTAGGCAAACTTCAAAAAATAATAACTTTTTTATTATAAATGTAAAACCTATGTTTTAACATAATCAAATAGAAAATTAAAGAATCTTTCGATTGGTATTATAATATCTGTTTATTAAAGTTAAAATTTCAGAAACATTTAACAATTTCTAATATTTTCAATACTATTTTGTAACAACAAACCTGTGAAATTCTACATGTGGGTTAATGTGAAAGTATCCATGCTTACCACTTAATCTGTCATAGTTTAAAATTAATTAAAATATTTGATTGAAAAATTAATAACTCGA